TCCATACACAGTTTCAAGTGTAGATATGACAGAGCCCGATAGGCTCAGGAATCTGTACACCTGTTGATTGACGGTTGAGAGGCGGGACCAAAGAGCCAGAGCTCAACCCCCGCAAACACAACTAGGTGAGTACACACACACACACACACACACCAGGAAACAGCCCGTAACAGCTGTCTAACTCCCAGGTACCTATTTACTTTTAAATTAGTTATTCACCCTGAATGCCCCCTGTTATTTAGCAGTAAATAGGTACCTGGGAGTCAGTCAGCTGTCACGGGCTGCTTCCTGGGGGGTGTTTGTGTGTGTGGTATGGTGTGGAAAAAAAAGTAGTTAGTAAACAGTTGATTGACAGTTGAGAGGCGGGCCGAAAGAGCAAAGCTCAACCCCCGCAAACACAACTAGGTGAATACACACACACACACACACACACACACACACACACACACACACACACACACACACACACACACACCAATTACTATGTTATTCATTTCTTCACGAGATAAAGAATAATGTCCTCCTAGAATATAGTTTATACAGGCTGCTAATTTCGCCCTAAGGAATGTGGAAATAGTTTCCCTGGACTTTCCACATCCACTAAGCACTTCCCGCCTGCTGCCCATCACTCTTTTAAACGTTCTCTCTCTTGTGCTTTAATACAAGAGCACCAGGAACGGAGCACCGGGGTCTCCATATCCGTTGCTACTCCCGTTGTCCCGTTGTGGGAGGAGCGAGTGCAGCCACTCCAAGCGCTTCGTAACCCTTTAGGGGAGCCGGTAAGTGGGCACTCAAATGTTTGGTGAATACTGCCTCTGTCTCGTCTGGAAGTGTGTTAGTGTCCAGGTCAGGAAGACAAGCATGCAGGTATCTCCAGGTATCCACAGTATCTCCAGGTATCCACAGTATCTCCAGGTATCCACAGTATCTCCAGGTATCCACAGTATCTCCAGGTATCCACAGTATCTCCAGGTATCCACAGTATCTCCAGGTATCTACAGTATCTCCAGGTATCCACAGTATCTCCAGGTATCCACAGTATCTCCAGGTATCCACAGTATCTCCAGGTATCCACAGTATCTCCAGGTATCTACAGTATCTCCAGCAAGGATCTCCAGGTGCTTCAGGTATCTACGGTATCTCCAGGTATCTACAGTATCTCCAGGTATCTACAGTATCTCCAGGTATCCACAGTATCTCCAGGTATCTACAGTATCTCCAGGTATCCACAGTATCTCCAGGTATCTACAGTATCTCCAGCAAGGATCTCCAGGTGCTTCAGGTATCTACGGTATCTCCAGGTATCCACAGTATCTCCAGGTATCTACAGTATCTCCAGGTATCCACAGTATCTCCAGGTATCTACAGTATCTCCAGGTATCTACAGTATCTCCAGGTATCTACAGTATCTCCAGGTATCTACAGTATCTCCAGGTATCCACAGTATCTCCAGGTATCTACAGTATCTCCAGGTATCCACAGTATCTCCAGGTATCCACAGTATCTCCAGGTATCTACAGTATCTCCAGGTATCTACAGTATCTCCAGGTATCTACAGTATCTCCAGGTATCTACAGTATCTCCAGGTATCCACAGTATCTCCAGGTATCTACAGTATCTCCAGGTATCTACAGTATCTCCAGGTATCTACAGTATCTCCAGGTATCTACAGTATCTCCAGGTATCCACAGTATCTCCAGGTATCTACAGTATCTCCAGGTATCCACAGTATCTCCAGGTATCCACAGTATCTCCAGGTATCCACAGTATCTCCAGGTATCCACAGTATCTCCAGGTATCTACAGTATCTCCAGCAAGGATCTCCAGGTGCTTCAGGTATCTACGGTATCTCCAGGTATCTACAGTATCTCCAGGTATCTACAGTATCTCCAGGTATCTACAGTATCTCCAGCACACTGGAGATACTGTCACAAAAATTATGTACTAAATTACCCGAACCTAACCTAACCGAACACTCACGAATAGAAAATGGGACATCTCGGTCAATGTTGCTAGCCGCTATGATTTACAGACCACCAGCTTTTGGTCTTGGGGGAGGGGGGAAGGGGGGGAGGGGAGGGAATTATAGGTCAAAAATACGATGAACTAACGACCTTCATTAGACCTTCCAGTGACCTTACGTCGCCTATACTGAATATACACAATATATCGAGTATATCATACGGTCATAGCGTGTATGACTGACCGTATAAATAGAGCGTGTGACATACGGGGAGGTGTATGACACGCCTTCTCCCCTCCCCAGTTCCCCCAAACATACAAACCCCCCCCCCCGATCCAACAACTATCCTAGAACCCCCCCCCCGATCCAACAACTATCCTACAACCCCCCCCCCCACCTCCACACCCCTCCCACAAAAAATCCCAAAATAATGACATTTAAAAGTAATAACAACATACCATATTGTCATCATTGGTGGAACGAAAACCTGGTTTTTTTTCCGGGGACAGCACGACATGTAATATTTATGCCGTCAACCTTATTAATTACCGGAATATCACCTCCCTACACCGTTATTCTCTAATTTCTCATCACTATTGAAAGCTGATTCAGTATGCATCAATGTATTTTTTTTTTGGGTTGTGTGTGTAAGGGAGCATGTATTTATTATATGTGCATGCGTGTATATGTGTGAGTGCATGTATGTGCGTGCGTGATTGCGTGCGCTTATGTTTGTGTAACGTTATGAAAGGTAAATTTGTTTCAGTGTTTATGAAAGAATGTTTATGCATTTTATGCGTGAATATTCATAATACTGAGAAGTGTGAACACACACACATATACACATAATATGTGATTTATATATATATATATATATATATATATATATATATATATATATATATATATAATATATATATATATATATATGTATATATATATATATATATATATATATATATATATATATAGAAAGAGAGAGAGAGAGAGTGTGTGTGTGTGTGTGAGTGTGTGTGTGTGTGTGTGTGTGTGTGTGTGTGTGTGTGTGTGTGTGTGTGTGTGTGTGTGTGTGTGTGTGTGTGTGTGTGTGTGTGTGTGTGTGTGTCCCCGTGGCGCAGTGGTAAAACACTTGCCCGGCGCTTCGCAAGTGCTTTGACCCGGGTTGGTATCCTGGCCGGGGAGTGACTAGGTGCCATTGACTAATTTGGATTTCTCCAAAATATTATATTTGTTCAAGGGTGCCTAAAAGAATACAAATTAACTGTAGAATGTATTACACTTTACACAAAGTTTCGAGCCTATAAGGTTCATTCTCAAGTGAGAAGACAGTACGGAACACGTGATAAACACGTCCAAAGAATACCTGATCAACCGGGCTGAGGCTCATCCTTCAAACTGCGAGCATCTGTTTCTACCAGCCTGGTTGCCCAGACCACCCGGTCTCTGGTCAGAGACCGAGCCATAGGGCCGCTGATCCCCGGAACCACCACAAGGCAGGAAGGTGGTGCTGCTGTTACCAGTGAATGATATGTTTGATAGTTTCCCTTGTGGCAATGCACGAGACTTTCCAGATCGTCGTAAGTCAGAAAACACAACTATTAACATCGAGTTAGAATAGGAGGAAAATGGGCACCTCCCTTTCCTGAACATCTTAATATCCAGAAAAGATGAAAGTGTTCCCATGGATGCTGGGTCCTCTGGTGCCCAGGTACAACAATGCCTTCTTCCTCTCTTTCTTGTGACAAAACACCCACCTCCCACACTACCCCATCCCCACCATCCCACATATATACGGGCTCACCATAGCCCGTGCTACTTGGACCGTTTTGTTTCAGGTAGCGAATCCTTAACAACAACAACAACCATTCCACACTACTCCCCCCTTCCCCTTTAACATCCCACAGTTGTCCAGCATCAAACAACTGGACTCTCCACGGCGCCTTGTTAAGCTGCAACACTGGTGTATAGTCCGAGTAACGACCCACTTGGCATTCAACGTTCCCTCAAGGCCCTTCTTCAAGCCATCTGAAGAACAACACCCAACATTACCTCTGTTTTCAACCTGAAGGGCCAATGTGACGGGCGAGGCCAACTCCATACGCGTGCCGAACAAGTCAGGAAGAGTGGCAATGTGAGAAGCTGTTGACAGTTGCAAGTGCGCTAGTTAGCTCCTCAACTTCGGCAACTCCAGCTTAATGACCTTAACCCAGCACATAACTCCCACGTGCCTCAAGTTTGGCAGCCCCCCCAGTCACCATTATCCTCACTGCCTCGCCCGCTGCCACCACTCACACACAGAGACGGAGGGTGAGAGGAAGGAAAGGAGGCAGGGAGGAAGGCACCGGAAAGAGAACTATATCCATAACTTTAAAAAACAATGATTAATATTTAAGATTTGCCTATGTGGCGGGTTTGAAGTGTTGTTGCATGAGACACACTCCCGTAATACAGGGTGTATCACGACACATGGCGGGGCTGTGGAGGCCTCCTCCACCGCGTGTTATATAACACTGGTAAGCTGGTAATTGTTACAAAAGAGGGGAGGAGAGAGGGGAGGGGGATAATAATAATTTATAGCGGTATGAGCAGGCGGCGTCACGTGACTGGATCACGCCAATCCCCGCATCCCTTCTTGCGTGACGCAGCTTACGTTTGCATTCCGCTCTTGGATGACGCACCTTAGGTCCGCACCCCCTCTCCCCCATCATGGGTGACGCAGCTTGACTCGCGTGAATCAACCGTAAAAGGGGGTAGTGCCACTCCGGCCCACACTCGAGTACAACAGTTCCGGTCAACAAGGTACACAATATTGGCTATAACCCCTCACTCACATGGCTGCCAGCGCACACCTTCCCCTTTCCTAGCTCCCTCCCCCCCTCACGTTATCTCAACCCCCCCTCCCTTTCCTCTTACCTCGCCCCCTCCCCACCCACTAACCTCACCCCCTCCCCAAACCCACCGTTATGGATGTTATTCCATTCACGCTACTAATCAATCCTCAGACCAGCCAGCCACGATATTAACTCTCCCCTCCGCTATGTTATACACCGCCTGGGACACACCTGCTCCTGTTACTAGGTCACACCTCCCAGCCCTCTGCACCAACCCACCGCCAGAGCCCTCTCAGCCCTCAGCACCGGAGCCCTCACAGCCCTCAGCACTGGTGCCCTCACAGCCCTCAGCACCGGTGCCCTCAACACCGGAGCCCTCACAGCCCTCAGCACCGGTGCCCTCAGCCCTCAGCACCGGTGCCCTCACAGCCCTCAGCACCGGAGCCCTCACAGCCTTCAGCACCGGAGCCCTCACAGCCCTCAGCACCGGTGCCCTCAGCCCTCAGCACCGGTGCCCTCACAGCCCTCAGCACCGGTGCCCTCACAGCCCTCAACACCGGAGCCCTCACAGCCCTCAGCACCGGTGCCCTCAGCCCTCAGCACCGGTGCCCTCACAGCCCTCAACACCGGAGCCCTCACAGCCCTCAGCACCGGTGCCCTCAGCCCTCAGCACCGGTGCCCTCACAGCCCTCAGCACCGGTGCCCTCACAGCCCTCAGCACCGGTGCCCTCACAGCCCTCAGCACCGGTGCCCAACCAACGCACACAAGAGAATGTGATGCTCGTGATAACAGACAGGGAGGTGGTCTGACGAGGACAGAGAAATGGGGGGGAAGAGATATCATAATTGATATGAAATCAGGTGACTAAAATCGAGATGCCAGGATCATTATGTACAGCGAAGAATGTCAACTGGTGTTATCTCTATATGTTTCTCATCATAGCCATCCGGGATAGAAGAGAGAGCGAAGCAGCCTTGTGTCTCAGCACCTCAGGTGTTCCACGCCCAGGTAGGCCAACCTGTCGACTCACAGGTGATGCACCATTCATACATTCTATATTTAGCGAACCAGTTGTAAAAAGCACCACTCACGATGGGGCTCCCATATATACACACGGATCACCAACATTAACAACACATAATACGCACCAGGACGACCCAGTATAACCACAAGAGTTTAACAAGGTTGTTACGACAAAGTTAAAATACCGTAGTCATTACACTATATGTATATGTGTGCGCGCGCGCATTGGGTAGAGGTGCGCGGGAGGGGAGTGTAAATTTCCCAGGAGAACTGACCATGAAATAAGGCAAGAGAGGAGAAAGTGGGGATCCCTCCCTCCATGGCGGGGAGGAGACTGGCAGTGACAGCCGGGTCGCTGATAAGGCGTGCGCCCTCAGATTGGATTTTGTCAGGAGAACTCAAAAGAGGACCAGAGAGCCTCATCCCTAGCGGCTGGGAGGAGTGCTTCACCAGGGAGGTGGTGGTGGTGAGGGGCGCCCAGTCCAACAGGATGAAGCAACAGGACACAGTCTAACAGTCCAACAGGACACACCAAGCAGGAGCGGTTCAGTGAAGAGAAGTCAAGATTTTGTGGCCTTACGTAGTGTAAGATAGATTTTTAATCCAAAGTTAATCACTGTTTGGCGGACACACACACACACACACACACACACACACACACACACACACACACACACACACACACACACACAATCCCAGAATAAACAGGTGGGTACGGACACGTGACACGGGACACATACAAGCAGAACGAAAGAAGCCACACAGCTAGATAATCATCAGTGATTATGCTAGAGTGGCATCTGGTTATTAAGGAACAACTAACTCGTACACAAACCGAGGCCCTTCCACTTAATAAACAACAAATTCTTGCAAGGAATGTTACAATTTTGTAGCCAGTAGGTTGAGAACCAGTGGTTCTCAACCTACTCTGCCTCAAGCACCCTTTTCACCATATATCAGAATGTCAATTCTTCCCCTTTCCATGATTGACTCAAAAGTTCCATTCCAAATAATATACATATATTTAAAATAATTTATTTTTTCTCTATTGGTACATATACATTTACTTTGATTATTTTTATAATGGAGTTTTACAAATTGAATAGTAATAGAAAATGTTGATGAATTTGTACACTTGAATAAAACTATTAATTCACATACACATTTTCTATATACACATTTCATTTCTATATACACATTTTCTTGTAAGATTAGTACTGTGCAAACACCTTAAAGTTTTCTTGCCAATAACACAGTAGGAAAATATATTTAACTATATGTATTATTAACAGAATTCTTCAAGAATTTGGGTAAATCTGGTTAAATTAGGTATATTATAACATAGAATAAGATTTGTAGACTTGTGTAGATTGAAGTATTTAGTCCTAGGAGAGATCTAATTTTTTTTGGAGATGGTCAATTTCAACCGAATTTAATTTCATAGTTAGGAAAATCTAAAAAATTTTTTATCGCAGTCTATATATTATGTTAACTAATTTTTGGGGCACGTCGGTTACTTGTGGTTCCTGAATATTTTTTTTCTTGAAGGTTACTTGGTTTGAGAATGGATTCTAAGAGGAAATGTTATCTAGCATGAAAATTACTCTTTGAGCAATGATTTATAGTGAACTATCCATATAAGTCTTATAATCAGATAGCGTTTTCTCACTCGTGACGCGTGAACTACATGCAAGAGCTTTGTTATCTAATGATGAAATTGTGCAGTTACCTTATGATTTGTGATGGTTTACAACAACAAGTCACTCTTTGAAGCATCGAAATTGGTCCATTCTCAAGAAAATCGATTGATAACGTGCTTCAGTTTGTTTGTTCATACATGTATGTGTTCATCCAAGCCCCGCCCGCTGAACTCAAATCACTCATAATCATAACTGGATTACAGCCGAATATTGTCGATAACAGCGATAACAGCGTGTAGGTCGATATATCTTGACAATATTAATTCAATTTCTAGCAGGGGGAAATCACTCAATCACAAATAAATCACAACGATTACACCTAATTTGAACGAGTATACCTGTTATTTACGTTGTCTCAGCTAACAGTGCACTGGTGAGATGCTGCTACACTGGCTTACCTGGAACATACCTGAAGAGGGTTTCGGAAGTGCTTATACTCCCCGAGCCCGGCCTGAGGCCAGGCTCGACCTGGATTGTACCTGAATGGTGTTCTGGGAGTTGTTCTACTCCTCAAGCCCGGCCCGAGCCCAGGCTTGACTTGTGAGAGCTTGGTCCATCAGGCTGTTGCTTGGAGTAGCCCGCAGGCCCACATATCCACCACAGCCCGGTTGGTCCGGGAATATTTCTTATAAGGCTTATCCGAAGTGAATTAAGCTTAAAGATCAATAGTGGCAAAAACAGCGATTGAAAAATCGCTCTTAAAAAACTTTAAGAGCGATTAATTTAACAATATTGTCTAAGAATAACGGCCATCTACCATGGAAATGACTCGTCTTACACGTCTCAAGGAGGCATCGCCCAAAATGCCTACTCGAATGCCTATTTTGGGCTCGAAAGGCCCAAATAATTATTGGATTGCAGTGAATATTGGCCAAAATATGTTGTAGATAGATATGTTGTTGTTGTAGATATGTTGTAGATAAATTTAACAATATTACGTCAGCTTGAAGTGAGTCTAGCCTGGAAGTGAGTCTAGCCTGGAAGTGGGTCTAGCCTGGAAGTGGGTCTAGCCTGGAAGTGAGTCTAGCCTGGAAGTGAGTCTAGCCTGGAAGTGAGTCTAGCCTGGAAGTGAGTCTAGCCTGGAAGTGAGTCTAGCCTGGAAGTGGGTCTAGCCTGGAAGTGGGTCTAGCCTGGAAGTGGGTCTAGCCTGGAAGTGGGTCTAGCCTGGAAGTGAGTCTAGCCTGGAAGCGAGTCTAGCCTGGAAGCGAGTCTAGCCTGGAAGCGAGTCTAGCCTGGAAGCGAGTCTAGCCTGGAAGTGGGTCTAGCCTGGAAGTGGGTCTAGCCTGGAAGTGGGTCTAGCCTGGAAGTGAGTCTAGCCTGGAAGTGAGTTTAGCCTGGAAGTGGGTCTAGCCTGGAAGTGGGTCTAGCCTGGAAGTGAGTCTAGCCTGGAAGTGGGTCTAGCCTGAAAGTGAGTCTAGCCTGGAAGTGGGTCTAGCCTGGAAGCGAGTCTAGCCTGGAAGTGAGTCTAGCCTGGAAGCGAGTCTAGCCTGGAAATGAGTCTAGCCTGGAAGTGGGTCTAGCCTGGAAGTGAGTCTAGCCTGGAAATGACTTACTGCCCGACTAGAATAAAAATTAAAATCAACGAGTACGAAAACGTATATTTTAAAATAAATATAATTGTTTCCAAGTTAATGAAATTACGTGTTCATTTAGCGCTATAAATCGTCAATAAATAAAAGTCAAAATAATTTCCCGTCATTAAAACGATAAAGTTACATAATAATTAGGTTAATTTCACATTAAGAGAAAAGTTTTAAGCGCCTCTAGTGTCAAGAAGACTTTATTCTCAATTAAATTAATTCAATTATTGCAGCCAGTTCCTTGTAATTATGTTAGGCTAGATTTTTTTATTGTTTATAATCATATTTCCTATTAAAATGAGGATGTTTCCAACTGCAATTATGTCCAATCACCATCAATTTTCCTTACAGAAGGAAAATATGTAATTATCCGCCGAATGCTTTAAACTAGAGCTCAATTGGGTAAAATGTGCAACCCGTTCTCGCACTTGCTTATAGTCAATATTGGCTTATTTAATAAGTGCATATGTGACATACTACTTAATTGTGAATATTTTAGTTTACCTTGAAAAGCTTCATAGAAAACACCGACCTCACCTAACCTTCTTAGTATGTTAAGATAAGCATCTTATTGTGTCTTAATTACAATTATTACTTAACCTATACCGTTGATAGGTTAAGTAATAATTGTAAATAAGAAGCAATAAGATGCTTATCTTAACATACTAAGAAGGTTAGGTGAGGTCGGTGTTTTCTATGAAGCTTTTCAAGGTAAACTAAAATATTCACAATCAAGTAGTATGTCACATATGCACTTATTACATAAGCCAATATTGACTAGAAGCAAGTGCGAGAACGGGTTGCAACTGTGAGGGGGAACCTCCGTTTTCCTTTATGGTCGTATTTTCTTATAAAATGAATATATTTCCAACTATAATTGGAACAATTCCATAGATAACAATTTTAAAATGTACCTGTATATAAAATTTAGGTTTAATTTGCTCTGTGACATACAATAAAATGTGATGTAGATTATGTACAATCTGGAGAATTGAAGTTTGTAGAATGGTTAATATTTCATTATTTTGAGTCTGTGGTTTTCAATTCCCCAATGAAACCCTAAAATTACTCCTCCCCCCATTTGAGAAATTCTCCCCTTGATGAGGAAATGTATATGTTTACCTCTCAGAATGTTTGGTAATATGTTTATTGTTTGTGATGTGTGTCTATGTATATATTAACACGTTGTACTGAATGGGGTGAGAATAGCTTGAGCTACCTCATCCCTTTGTGTGTATTTTACCTCAATAAACTTATTTCAATTTCAATTTCAATTTCTTAAATCATTCTCAACTACCCAAGACTGAGACACACAGGAAGGCCACAAGTACGACCTTTCTCAAGATGAAACTTCCGCAAAACTTTGACAGCTGAGCTATATAATTGAAGCAAATGTAACATATGCAAAGTTGACCGTCAGGAGAGTAATGGAAGACGAGACATGTCTTTTCTTTCAATTCAAACAATTAACTTATGAATTGCGCAAAAAAAAGACTTGTTTACAAAAAAGTTCGCACATGTAAGGCTGATTTGGGCAAGAACACAGTTACGACTGAGAATCCTCA